GAATTTTCAACAAATAAAATAATCATATTGATGTGCACGGTGGGTTAACAGTGTCAACTGTAATTCTATAAAAAAAAAAAAAAAATTAAAACGCCGTGCACGTTCACTTTGAAGTTTCTTCAACATACGTGTATTACTCGAAAAAAATTTGTTTCTAATTAATATAGATATGTTTTTTATATGAAGATATTCGAAACGTGTAAGTGTAGTAACTAATAATCAACGTCATTGATGTACTCATTCATTCCAACAAACGTTGTAGGGCATACTATGAACTTGTGCCTTTTTTCATGTTTTTCTTTCAATAAAATTAATTTAGAACTCAAAGCACTGGCATACACAATGTCAACATCAAACAGCAAAAACGAGTCTGATAATTTTTTTGACAAGATACCTGAAAACAATTTCGCACCCACTTGGAAATAAAATAATTTGGTGTGCAATATGTATCACCACAACAAATTAAACAAAAGAAAAATAGAAAAAATCTACAAAAAATAAAAATTGGTCTAAGGCTATTTAGACACAACTTCTCTCGCTCCTGAAATACACTCCAACAAATCCAGCTTCTTCCATAAATTTTAAAATTTAATTTTACGAAATTTTGTGTATTTTATAACACCTCCTAAAAACATAGATAATACCAGTCACAGCGTAAAAAATGACCCATGAAGAAATCGAACCTCTGCGTGCTGCCTGTTATCAGTTCGATGAGATTACAATACCATCGCACCGTTATGCTCGGGTTGCTCTTATATTATATAATTTGGATTTTTTTAGAAAAATCTAAATGCCTAGGGTAAAAACTCAAGGCGGATTCATACACCACAAGTAGAGGAGATGACCAACTTTTAACTTTCGCCATTACGATGCCGTTGACTTTGGGTTTTCAACAAATCAAATTATGGTAGTGTGCAGTGCTGCCAACTTTGAAGGAAAATCCCCTGAATTAGGGAGGACATTTTTCTGGTTGACAGCACTAATTCCAAGAAAATCAAATTTTGATAGAAATAATGAGGTCCACTAATATTAAGCCATTTAATCACCTGTTCACCGAAACCGTCATATTTTAAATAGCTGCCATCATTTTCTCGACGTTTAAATCAACAAGATTTATTGCTATTCGTCTCAAAAACAGATTAGGTATTATAACTACATGCTTACATTTGCCCTTTTTTTTAAATATGTGTAATCTTCTTTTCACAACAAGAAAAATAAAACATATTTAAAATTGTAAATTTTTGTAGGAAAGTATCGATTTTGCAATTAGGTTCCGCCCCTCGGTCTGACAACGAATGAAAAATTCATCAAGATTGAGACCGAGACGGATTGATGGGGCTTCTCTTATAGTTTTCTTTTTCAATTAACACATTTCGTTTTCTTTGGATAACACGATTACTTAGGAACATATTTCACATGGTAGTTTCTCGTAGAAAAATAAGGATTTTACAATTAAGCTCCGCCCCTCGGCTTACAACGAATAAAAAAATCATCAAAATTGAGATAGGGCTGCTGGGCGGGGCTTATATTTTCCTTTTTTTTTTTTCTTAATATACATGTCCATCTTTTCACAACAAGAAACTTAAAACATGGTTAAAATGGTACATTTTTGCAAGGAAATATGGATTTTGCAATTATGAGGCGGAGCCTAAAACATGTTTAAAGTTTCATGTTGTGAAAAGAAGTCTACACATATTCAAACAAAAAGGCAAAATGGAAGCCCGCCCACCCGCCCTATCTCATTTGTGATTTTTTTTTTTTATTCGGAGCTTAACTGCAAAATACTCATTTCTTTACAAAAAATTAAAAACATGTTTTTGAGTATCGTGTTGTTCAAAGAATACTATGTGTATTAAGAAAAAGACAAAATATAAACCCCGGCCACCCACCCCATCTGAATTGTGATCATTTTTTTTAATTCTTAGAAATTCAGAACAGGTTTAAAATGGTAAATTTTTGTAAAGGAATATGGATTTTGCAATTAGGCTCCGCCCCTAGGTCTGCCAACGAATGAAAACTTCATTACTATTTAGATAAGGGCAGGTATGGCTTTAATTTTTTCTTAATATACGTAGTATGTATTCTTTGAATAACACGATATTCAAAAACATGTCTTACATGGTAATTTCTTGTCGAGAAATAATAAGGAATTTATAATTGAATTCCGCTCTTTTGGCTCTCAACGATTAAAAAAAATCATCACAATTGAGATAGGGCGGGTGGGCGGGGCTTATATTTTGCGTTTTTTCTTAATATACGTAGTCGTCTTTTCAGAACAAGAAACTTGAACCATGTTTAACCTGGTAAATTCTTGTAAACAAATATGGATCTTGCAATTAAACCCCGCGCCTCAATCTGACAACGAACGAAAAATTCATCACAATTGGGAATTGAGATCGGGGCGGGTATGGGTGGAGAATAATCTTTGCCTTTATTTTTTTCTTAATATACACAGCATTCTTTGAACAACACGACACTCAAAAACCTGTTTTTAATTTCTCGTAGAGAAATAAGGATTTTGCAGTTAAAACTCCGCCCCCTTGGTTCACGACGAATGAAAGAAAAATCATCACAATTGAGATAGGGTGGGTGGGCGGGGCTACATTTTTCCTTTTGTTCTTAATATGTGTAGACTTATTTCGACAACAAGAAACTTAAAATATGTGTAAAATTGTAAATTTTTGTAGTAATCAACTTAAATCATCCACTTTTCTTCTACAACCCCTTTAAAACAGGCAAAAGTTGAATATCAAAGTTACTATCAACGGCAACTTGGCAACGTCAACAGTAAGTTTATAAATCCCACTTCATTCACATTTGTGCTAGCATGTTGACCAGTTCACTTAAGTTTATGTTATCTTATTTTGATGACTCACCATGTTGAACTTAAAATAATCCGTCTCTACTTGTGATTTTATAAAATTTAAATGGCAAAATTTTGCGTAATAAAACGTCAAGAAAACATGAAAGTAGCCCTTCGTCTCATGGACCTTATTACAATACTTCCTTAGCATAAGCTCGGAAAGTAACAACGTTGAAACTTATGTATATATTCCGAACAGTTCTAAAATTGTAACCAGGCACGAAATTCAATTTAATTACGGATAACGGTGCCTCCGATTTTATTTAAAATTTGATGCGATTTTGGTATACGGAACAAGCAAACTTTACTATGAATTTGTAATAAAACAAACAGAGGAATCAAGAGTATTACGGTGATTAGACTCTCAATTTTCTCAATTTTTTAAATTAAATTAATATTAAAGGAAAACTATATGAATGTATATATTTACATCATATGAAAGGTGCCATATGTAAACATGCAGCCATTAACTTAATGGGCACATGTTTACTCTTTAAAAGATCGATACGTAACAAAATACAACAAAAACATTTAATTTATAATACAAACAGTTGTATTTGTAAATACACCAAGGGTTGAAAGTGCATTTTTGCAGATCGAACATGAAATTCATTGACACCCAACTTTAAACATACGATGTATACATATTTTTTTGTACATCGCTTTCAAAATGAATACACAATTCATTATTCTCAACGTACATAAATTTATCTTAGTTTGCAGTCGCATATATGCATATAAGAAAGAATAAAACTACAAAGAAATCATAAGTGAAAAATTTATGTTCAATTATTATTATGAGTCAAAAGTGAGGCTGAACTGTTAAAATTTAAAATTCATATAATATAATGGTGCAATATTAAGAAAAAGAAATTTGTATCTTTTCAGTAGATCATAGTTGATAATTTTAATGACCTCCTTATTTTAGTTACATTTGACACGTTTCAGTTAATTTTGGTGATATTAGAAAACATAATACGTGAAATTTTTAGAAAATATTCAACCACAGCTTTTATAAATGTACTTTTATGACTTTATTTTAAATAAAAAAAAAAAAAACAGTGTATTCGGGCGCATATATATTAGAACATTTGAACACATTACTTACTATGTCGTATTTTCAAAATGACTCTTTTAATACGGTTATCCGAAAAACTTTACGAATGATTGTATTTATGTATATTGTGTGCATAGCCTACTTCAAACCTCCATTTTTTTTTTAGTTCTGAAAAATTGTGAAAATGTAACCAAATACAACGTCCAGTTAAAGTTATATTTACCAAGACATGTTTTTTATTTTTATTTTATTTATTTTGAACATTAAAATTACAAATCAAATAAGCAAGTGATATTAGCCGTCTGTGGAAAAAACCAGCTCTAATTCTTACTTAAAAAAAACTTTGTTCCATAATGTTACAAATGTTGATCAATTTTTTAAAATCTATTGTCTACTTTTAGTAGAACAGTACAAGCCAATCCAGTGTGACGAACAAACAAATCCAATAATAACTTAAATTTTGTTGTTATTCCAATTCGCCGGATATGTCAACAATCAATATAAGAAACAGAAGGAAATACAGCTTACATGATAACAAATATGAAAAAATTAATTAAAAAATAGCAAAATGGTAATCCACCTTGATTCCTACACACAAAACACAAATTTGTTGTTGTTGGTACATAATATTAGCGCTATGGTTGAGTAAATAAATTTAAATACCTTAACACTGTTGCGTCATTTAACAACAAAACCAAGAATCTACCGTTTAGCGACAGGTTGACCTGACCTGAAGAATAGTTTATATATTTTAAAGTGATGCAGATTGTATGTATTTAGACCTAGTCGTGGAAATTTGCTTAATAGTCAGATAAAAAACTACACGAAACCAGTCAATAATATTCAGGTTTATTATATTTGTAATTTTGAAAGAAATTCTTGTAGTCTGCATAATTGACAATGAGGAAGCTTAAGATACACGCCCTAGTTTTATTAGGAACTCATGAAAATTACACACACCTTCTACTTAATTCCAGAAACAATGTTGAAACAGTGATATCACTTATATATTGTTGTTCACCTCTGAATGTAAATGATTACATTCTTGTAGTAAAGATGAGAAATGCTGTACCTACTCACATTTAATATTTCCACAGCTCGTCCATTCACAAAATCGTCCAAATAATCCTATCTGATGTTTGAAACCATAATTGAACTTAAATTTTCAGTAACTATACTCGTCTTTTTTTATTCACTATGTGTTTTATTTACGGGTTGTTTTCTGGATTTAATTGTTTACAAATTGTAACACAACTCGATAGTCACAAACTGACAGATTTTGACATCATCGACAAACCGAAAACCGAATGAATAAATATGGGAGGGGATGCCCGATTAGAGAGCGACTTTGAATGGTAGTGTCCTCTGTAGCCATTGTCGTGAATAAAGTAGCTAATATTGATTCTGTAATGTTGGTTGCGTCGATATGTACATTTCAAAGGCCCTTATACTGTATCCATGCATAAATGAAAACGAAAAATGCATATTTTCCTTAAACAGAAGACACAACAAAGAAGGCTGTAAATTTAATTAGACAAATCTGCCCTTATCTTTAGAATATCAATATTTTCAATTTAGATATAATGTGCGATAGTCCCTAAATCAACATTACGATTTCGTTATATAAATAGTTATTATAAATACGGGATGACTAGCAGTGATTGAACCAAATTTTCGTGTTGGCAGTTCTGAATTATTGGCATCTATGCTAGTATGTCAATTCACAATTGTCAATTTTGACATGAGTACGCCTAAGAAACGTGTTAATTGGTTGAGACGATGGGGGCTGTTATATATGTCACTCTGGCAATCAGATATGCCATCATAAAATTTTAAATAGGTTGCCCACTTGTCAAAAAAACACCAACATTAATAGTCACTCGGCACGATAAAACATTTTTAAATATGTGTAACGTCGTAGAATATCACAAAAATACTCAATAGTAGACAACTATAAATCAGTTTCAATCATTTTGTCGTACAAAACAAAATAATTACGGAATTACAACAAAATATTGTTAAGTTGACATGGCCTCCTGGACAAGCAATATCTAACGAATTAATAAAATATAATGTATTTTTTTTAATTAATAAGTCCGTAATTGTTTTATTCAGTAGGACAACATGAACTAAAATGACTAAAATTATTAAAATACAGTAGTTAAATTTTTGTATATGCAACCAACAATATAGTTGAAAGTGCTGATATGTGATGAACGTATTTCTATTTTCCGCTCATTCTACCACAATTTTTTTTCGGTTCGCCTAACTTCAAGTTCTGCTTTTTCCCTTTCTATAAAACATACATACGGTCTACATTTTTCTTCGCCTAATTTCCGTTCAGCACAAATGGCGTTTGCCTTTTACGTAGGGATTCTCGAAAAGTCTTTGAATAGCGTAGGCTTTGGATATATTTTCCATTTCTTTAGTTAAACTTAACCCGGCAAATTCAAACTTGTCAATTTAAATCTGTCGTTAAGTTTTTTGATTCCCTACTCATAAATTATGGGTTGCCTAGAGTAAAGGGGCGAAAACAGCAATAGAAGATTCCATGGCGACAAAAAGTTTATTTTAAATTCGTTGTTCTTAGCCTTAAATCATTTGATACATCTTCGATTTATTGACGTTGACATTGTTTTGTAAGGTTTACCGGTTTAATCAAAGAAATGAAAAATATTTCCATAGCTTTTCTTAATCTGAAAATTTTTTCATCACCTGCTACATATTAAAATGTGATAAATACACACTTTTCAGAATTTTCGTGTTAGCGTGTTGATTGTACAGTAGTGGTCAACACAGATAAAAATTATGTAATGTTGTTATCCTCTTATCAGTACAGTCATTCTGTAAGTTATAATATTTTTTCTTCTTTAAAATTTCTGCAATTTGCGTTTAACCAACGGCGAATTTTTCTGAGAATCGCCGAAAATGCTTGATTTAAATGTCAATTTTTTCACTAACATTTAAAAATTTTCTTTGCTTAGCGGCCATGTTATACACTTTAAACATAAACGTTCTATGAATAATGTTTTCGAAGTTCATTCACACTAGACAAACAAAAGCACCCCAGCTTTGCTATTTGGGAAAAACCCATATTTATGACGAGCGGTGTGGGCAAAACAGATTGACAAGTTTTGTTAAATCATATTTGGTGTGGGGTTGAAGAGAGTTATGACCAGTTACTGAAAATCTGTTGCCCTCATGTTTACATTTTATTGTACAGTGTAATCTCGTGGCCGCTTTACCTGTTACCTCTCCGTTGTGAAGAGGTGATTTTACAAGAAAATAACTCAAAATCAGAGCTGTTCAGTACTTCAAGTAAAAGTAAGATAAAAGACTTGAAGTATTACTTCAAGTACTTTAAGTACTTCAAGTATTTTACTTGAAGTACTTTTATATTTAGGTACTTGGTAAGTACTTGGTATTTGGAGTATTTCTAAAATGTACTTGAGTTTAGTACTTTATTTTGCCAAGTACTTTACTTCAAATACTTCACTCAGTATTTTAAATACTCTTGAAGTACTTGAAGTAAGAAAGTGGAAACTTCAAATACTTTGGTCTCTATTTTACGAAGTTTTCACATCTCAAAATAGGGTCTGTTAAATACTTGAAGTTATTAATTCAGTTATTTGATTAGATGTGTCTTTATAGTAAAATCGTATTTGCTTCCTATGAGGTTATATTTTGATCTGTGATTATGGATATCTTATCCGCAATACGACGTATTTTTTATAGGTACTGCAGACGTCATAAATATGTCATTTGAGAGTGGATGACGACAGCAGAAGGGTCGGAGAACTCTGTAAAATTGTCAGCGATGAAAAGTTGTGAATATATGAATTTTATCAACTGGTCTGGAACTTAACTTTGCTGGTAGTTTTTCAGTACCTTCCCAGTAGAGTTCCCTCAAACATATAAGGCGTTTATGACTTCACACCAATTTGACTCCCATTATAATTCAATAGGCCGTCACAACCGGATGTCCTAAACCCGCTCACCGATACCTACCTGAAAAGACCTTTTCTGGTAAAAGCACAGGGCAGGACTGAGTTTTGCATTTACCGACAACTGCGCCTTCCGATTTTTTTATTTTAAGTAAAAACAAAGTAACTTTGTACTCAATCATTTTTTATTACAGCAAATTAGTTAGAATTTTGACATACACAACTATTTACTAATTAACTACTACTGCTTATTTATTGATCGAAATAGTCACTGTCATCATCACTCGACTCTTCTAAATTAACAATTAACGGTTTTAACAACCGTGCCCTGTACTGGTTTTTCCTGAATTTATTCTTCAAGAAGGCACTGTGTTTTGTAGTTTCTGCTATAAACCGCATTTCTATTTACAAATATATGTTTTCGGATCATCGGCAAAATTTTTTGCTACAATATTTCGAAAAGTATTTAAAAATAAATTGCTACAAAAATACTAATTAAATGGCCTATTATAATTTTTTTTATTTATTTGCCACTATTTAGTGTAAGACAATAATTTTAAAAAATTTTATTTATCTATGTATTTTTTATTAAAAAAAATTAAGCTTGATAAACCTGTTTTTATAATTTGTAAATAAATTTAGTTGTGTTATTACACTTCTTTTCAATTTTTGGAGGATATGCAACTGCATATCTCTGCATATATTAATAAAGTTACAGCATATTTGCATACTTTTCGCTCTCTAGTCATGTATTATTTTTAATATAACAGCAATATGAATGTACCCTCTGGATTTGAAACAAAGGACGGTGACATCGTCAAAATTATTTGATTTATGAAAAAACTTAGTGGACCAGTTTTACTTATTACAGATTTTATGTTTTTTGCTTTCAATATCTTAATAATATTTTCAAATGTGCAGAATAATGATTAAATAATTAAGGTACGGAAGAAACGTTAAAAATAAAATTACTCTTAGTCCGGTCCTTCGCGTCTCGGCCGTCCCTGGCACGTGGCATGGTTTACATTTACTAAGCTTTATGAAGGGTCGGCTGTAAAGTACAGTGAAACCTGTCTATGCCGGACTCTGCAGAAGGCGGAAAACTGCTTATCGCGGAAATTTTCCGCAGTCCCGTTTTTTCAAATACCCAATTTAATGTATTTTGGTCCGTACATTGATTAAATACATATAGATAGACCCATGCTATTGTTTGGAGCGAACAGGCCAACGGCCGGCGAACAAGAGATGGCGCACCAACAGTCGGCCGTCAAACGCCGGCGAAAAGCTTGGACACCAATCGCGCGCGTAGATAACCCAAATCACAGCAACAATACATTTAATAAAGCTACCACTCGACAGAGGGCGACGAAAACAATGTGTAAAAATCTCTTAGTAACCATTTATATAATTTGCAACGTTGCCAGATGAGCCTAGCACAACTTTGCCGTTATTTCTAGTCGAATAGATTTTATTTCGTTTAAAAGTTTCTGGTGAATAAATGGAATTATTATAATGAATAAACAATACAAACAAATTATTACTTGTTATTTTAAATACTTGTTAGTGTTGATGAAAACATAAATGGTAATTAAAGTTATTCTAAATACGGTCCGGTCCGGTAGCTCAAATTTTACAGTACGAGTGATATGTTTCAGGACGAGTAGGTAGCCGAGTCTTTAATTTCGAAACGAGTACTGCGAAAAGAGTTACCGGACGTATGTTGTTATCTATTTTATTTCATACTGTCAACATACTTTTTTATTCGATAAAATTATTATTATTTTGAGAAAAAATCCAAATCGAGTCACTTTTTCTGACATCGTTAGCAACCGCTCTTTGGTAAATGTTTTAATTTGTTTATTCGTGCAAATCAGCATCATATGTTTAAACACATAGTACTTATAACACTTTACAGGACTTATTGTTTTGTATAATCCGACTCGATGGACGAATGTTTTGTGCAATCCGTCTCGAAGGACCAATGTTTGTGCAACTCGGCTCGTCCTACCAGTATTTTTTGTAATCTGGTTGATACGACAAAGTGATACCGAATTGTACTTTGATATTGCTCCAATGACTTTTGTTTTATTGCGTGCGAGATAATAGACAGCGTTCGGTTTCGATGTTTAATACAGGACGGTTACAGAAATACTAAATTTACATTTGTATTTACAATAACAGGTAAAGCAAAAGAGACCCAAAAGGGTCAGTGGCCGCTTCCGGAAATGGAACACTTGTCCTTTTTGGCTCAATTTTATCGGACTTGTCCGTTTTTTTGATTTTACCGGAATAGTTCGATCCAGTAAAACGTCAAACTTGACATAGTATAAAGTAAAATAAATAAATTT